TTCAAAAAATTTACCAGGAAATTCGCGTTCTACCAAAGGAAAATTGGCAAACGCCGAAGGTTCATACGGCGTTCTTCCTGAGCACGGCAGTTCTTGCCGTAAAAAAACCGCATCCTTATCTCATTAGGCGACTCTGTGAAGAATCCTTTCCAGGCTCCTCTTTTGTGCCTCCTCCGAATTTGGATCAGCGAGTATCGCGGAACAAAAGACAACAAGAGATCGCTTCCATCGCAGGAAGCTACCTTTGCTCTTGGAACAAACATTACGGTAGTTTTTTGGGATTCATCTTCATTTCATGATGTCAATACGTCCCGAGGATATTTTATCTAACAAAGTTGGAGAGTTGGTGTATAAGTCATTGTTCCTAAAACACTGTTTCCTATTACGACTTTTCTTGATACTTCTTTCCTACCTACTCCCCTTTACTTTCGTAAAAATAGAGTCCCAAATTTTTCCCACAGAATTCCAAAATTTTGGAATAAATTTTTTTATGAAAAAAAAAGAAAAACAGGACGAAATATGCAGCGTTGTTACGCAAACGTAACCCTATGTCACAGAGGAAAAATTACTAAAGTTAAAATAATGGGGCTGTTCCCTATAAACCGATATAAGCTGCGGGATTAAGTTTAAATATTTTAACCCTGCTCTACTAATGTTCATGTTTCAATTACAGTTAGGACAGATAAATTTAGAGAAAAAAACCAGCAGGACATCTCATCTGTTGGACATACTGTCGTGGGATGCAAAACTGTTGGGCAAAAAGATAAACTTGTGGTAAGTATGTAAACAACTGTTGAAGAAATGACCTAGCACCGCTGGGAATGATAGGGTGCGGGCGCCCATCAAGTTTTCCCGATATTCTACGAGCTTTCCCCAACTTGCGGGACTTCTGCCGGCCTCAGACGGCTTTCAGCAACGGCAACGTCTCAAATTCTAAGCCGACAGGTACAAACTGCTTTCCAACACAAACACACTTGCCGGAGCGATCCGCGGCTGCTAAGATGTGCAAAAAAACTCGCTTCGTTTACATCACAACTCGCGGGACTCCGGGGCTTTTCACAGCCACGTTGCAATCCCTTTATTTGAGCAAGCGTACAATTTTCAGTCACCCACATCAAAACGAACATTTATAATATTGAAGACCACGCCCCCCTCCCGCGGGACTCCTCTATGCACCGTTGCCGATTTTACAAATAAAACCACGATTCACTATCAGGCAGATCCGAAAGTATCCAAATCAATGGACAAAGAGCTGACCACACATCTCCGTGTGTGGCGTTTTAGACCTCCTGCCGTACTTTATTTTTTTTCGTTGGCAAACTAGTCAACTTAATATCCTGGAAACTCCTTCATTTCTCTTCTCTACTGCCATAATATTCACGCTAAGTATATAGTTGACTTGTTCTTTTCGAAATAATAAAATAAGAGCAGAGATTTTGAAAAGTCACAATGGAGATGGGTGGTGTTGCTTTTTGGCCATCGAAATGGTCCAGACCTATTTAGGGAAATGAATGAATCAACTTTTTGGCATGAGGACGTCAGCCCATCGCAACGTTTTGAGATTATCAAAGGTAGGTCATGTGTGTATGAACGAGAGATACATTATTACCTAACAACGAGACAACAAGAACCGATCAGAATCTTTGGCGATGGAAACCAGATCAATCGGCGAGCTCTATATATTGAAAAAATTAGAGTGATAAGAGTTATATTGAATTATAACGTTGCGGAATTCTACCTTGAGTACCTACTTACTGAAAAAACGGATGCATCTCTCCTTCCCGAGTTTTTCTTTAATTTCCGGTTAAAAAACAAGGCTAACCAATCATGAAAGAAAGATTTGCAGCATCATTCAGCTGGTCATGGAGAACTTATGACGAGATTTGACGGTTTTTTGGTAAAATGCTGTTGTTTTGAGGTTGAAAATACAGGTAATTTCACCAAAAAACCTTGAAACAGTCAAAATCACGTCAGTCGCACTCTAATATCAGCTAAATGTCGGGGAGATTTCAGTTTCATACTTCATTAACGTAAAATCGTGGATTAAAACTTGACTTTTCAAAAAGACGGGTCTGCTGACCCTGAAAGGCATGTGAATACACATTGGCAAAAACACAAATAGCTACATTGTCAGGTTTAACTTTGCAACTTTGTAACGCACTTGAGTTCCTTCGACTCTGACCTTCCTCCGATTTAAAATAAAATCACTGATTTTCCAGGAGAGCCGGCAAAGATGCTCGGAGTTAATTATCTATGCAGCTCACAATTCATCGCAGAAAAAGAATAAAAATGAAATAAAGGTGCGAGGCAGGAGAGGCAAAGCTGATTTCATCTCGCTTTTTCTTTCTCTTTTATTTCTTATTTGGTTTTGTTTTCTTTTTCGTTTTATTTATTTTTTTTTTTTGCGTGGGACTCATGACTTCGGGAGGTGAGCTAACTCTGCCGCGCTAGGGAAGAACGCCGTATGAGTCCTCAGACTTTAAGAGATTTCCTCTGATCAGAGTTTTCTGGAAAATATATGAAAATTTTTCTTCCGACTTAGAAAAAGTCATTCAAGATCAAATGTGTGTCTATCTAAAAATATAAAGGGATAAGTAATAATAGATACCTTTTTTCGAAAATAAATGTTTAATGGGGGGGGGAGGGGGATCTGGCAACACCCAATAGAGGTTCATACGGGTTTTTTTCTAACCAAAGGAGAACTGGTATGTGTCAAATACTCCCGCCTTTTTCGCCGCAAACGTCGGCGTCCTTTAAAAAGATGGGTAAGTTTTGAACACGAAAAAGGCGTTTTGGCCTCTCTCGAGAATCAAATGATCAGAGGGCCACAAATGGGTAGGTATTGCATTCTGTCGAGGTTTCGCGGTTCTGCCAATCAGGAAATTAATAGCCATTGAAAAAAGAGAAGAGAGAAGTGTAAAGTGGACTGCATTTTGCAATTTGGACCTATAAATTCTGGCTCGTCTGAAAAAACACTTATGTGCATTGGGAAACTAATGGCTCATACGTTGTTTTTAACCGGGTCGGAATTTATAGGTCCAAATTGCAATATGCAGTCAAAGTAAGCGTCAAAGAGGGAGCTGAAATACTAATGCACTGATCATAGAAATAGGTGCAAGGACTGGATTTTTTTTTAAAAGAAAAAAATTAAATTATTTAAATAAAATATAAAAAATAAAAAAATGCCTACGTTTAGAATCGAATGTAAACCGTGAAGCTCTATACTCCCTTTAAACACGTGATTAAAATCGACCGATGCAAAGCTGTCGGTGAAAGCTCAAAGGCATAAACGTCGTTATTTTTAGGGACTATTATCATAGTTTTTAAATTTCGCGCAGGACCTTTCAATCATCAATTCATGGTCGAGAAATCTAGGAAGTGTGTAACTTTACAAGAAGCGGCCAAACTTCTCAAGCTCTTCATTTCTGCAATTTTCAGCTGTTGATTCATATGTTTAAGTTACTGCTCATAATTTAGGTTGCATTTTATAGTTGGCAACCCTCGATATCAAGAAAAGGAGAGGGGTGATTTTACAAGTCGATCTCTGGAGTCGAAAAGTATCTCCATTTAGGACGTTCCAAGTCTCTGAAAAAGATTCATTTTTCAACAGTTTTTCCTAGCGTTTATGGTAATTTCTCTCACGAATTGAAAAATATTCCGAGAAATAAGAAGATTTTCCGGGTTCTTTTTCCTAAATAAAGAAGGAGAAAAAAAGGAGGAAGGGAAGACTTTTACTTAATTGTTGCAATGGAGCTACGAATTTTTCGACTTCAAAGATCGACTCAGTTTTTGTATTTTTTTTTCTCCAATTTTACATGCGATTGTTAACACGTCGTGTCACTGGTTACCTTCATTTCGAAGTTCTTATTGCTTGTCTGATTTTCGTTGATAGTTGAACGGCCAGTACGTAAAATTTGAATTTATAAATAAAAACAACATATTTGTTTCAACTTGGTATGTTTGGCGAAGTGTTGAAATAAAAAAAGAAGGAATCTTCCGGGAAAAAAACAAGTATTAACATTGCAAAATTTGACGATTTTAGCTCAATTTTCATGCTTTTAGGGGCCTAACGCCAATATTCACCTTTAAATTTGTTAATAAGTGAGTCACCTTAAAAATATATGTTTTAAAAGAAAATCGTAGACTATTTGTGTGAATAGGTAGGACTGAACTTTCTTCGTAAAATTGACTTTGGTACTATGTTGGCGGAAATCGCGGAATTTGCAATGCAGATACTTGCGTGTTTTTTAACTATCGTCATATGCGTGAACATGGGTAGTTTGCAAAATAATGACCAGTTTAGTCAGAAGTGAATGGAATCGAAAAGATAGTCTTGCGGATGTAGGTAAGATGAAAATTCGGCTAAAAGCTTAATGTTAGAGTTTTGATTAAAACTTCACAGGTATGCTAAATTTGACTTCATATTAAAAAATAATTCATTCAATTTTATAACCTACTTAGTCAGTCGTGCAACGGAACAGCAGGCAGAGATAAGGCAACCTGAAAGAGGTACTAACAGGGAAAATATTCACTTTGGAAAATCATCCCTTACGGAGACAAGTCGAAAAAGAGGCTCGCAAAAGCTGCTAAAAAGTCGTTGAGAACTAAATGAATACCAATTTAAAAAACAGCCTTCTACAGACGTACATCAGTGAAGCACACGAACTAAATGGCAATTTCTCGTTATCCATCGTAATCTTTCACGGTTCTGGCAAATTAATTTTAAGGTACAAGGTTCAGTGTACGAAGAACCACATGTAATTTATTAAAAAATGGAACTATAAATCAACAGCTTCAAAAATGACTTGGAAAAACCAATCCTTGAAGCTGCTGATCGATAGCTAGGATTTTGAACCAGTTTTGGATAAACGTCGGATAAAACGATGAAATTTCCGTCTTTCGTCCGAAATGCTGAAAGGCCCTCGATTAGATGGCAAAAGCCCAGATCAGTGGCACTGCTTCAGAGTAGGTATTGAAGTCAGCACCTCGGAGAAAGTTAATTTTGTATACTTGGTCCCTTTTCCGGACCATAAAATTGGAATTTGTCTGATTTTTAACGACTATTCTTGGTCCAAAATCGAGACTGCGTCGGATGATAAAATGAAAAAATATCAATTGAAATAATTGCAAAGTGGCTGATCTGCGCATGTGCCATTTTCATGAGGGATGAAAGTTAAAAAGGACATGAAGGGGGACAGGAGGGAGCCTGCTGCCCGGTGACATTAGAAGGACACGAGATTCGAAAATTAAACTATGATTTACAGAAAACACTTACATTAGGAGTTGACTAGGAACAGACGAAAGCGTAACGAACAACGGGCGAGGCTGGAGGCACTGTGCCGAGGAACGACGAGGATCCAGGATTCCGGGATCGGACGACTAGACGACTAGACGGAATAGATCGGACGACTAGACGACTAGACGAAATAGGTCCTGCCGTTGTTGGAGCACGCCGAATTGTAGATGGGCTCCGGGATAGTGCAGTAGACGTGGTGGTGGTTAAGCGTCTGCGGCCGGAGCCTTTGTTGGTAGTCGATCGAGACGTAAGAGTGGTGCGTAGGGTCGTCCTCCTGCGAAGATTCCTCCGACACGCTCGTACTTTGCGTAACCGCAACCGAACTTTGCGGCGACATCTTGTACCACGGCTCCGTCGCCATGACCATCGGCGCCGCCGTGTACCGCGCACCGTTCCCTAACGCAGTCGTTATTTTCCCGTTGCTATTTACAATTATCTTCTTAAAATCACAGTTTATCGACTTGTTGACTTTGTTGTTAGTCTGACTCGAGAACTTCACGTCCGGCATGTAGTACCGCAGTTTGTTCCAGAAGTGCTTGTCGTTGTACTTGAGCACCACGATCTTGTTCTTCAAGTTGTACAACAGCTTCTGCAGCTCTATATTAACCAGCGTATTGTGATTTATTAAATTTGTTGATGTTAGCAGAATAATTATGATGAGCTTGTTTTTATTCTGACTATTTTGAATCCTATCCAAATTGGCTTTCAGAGCTTTGTGGAAATGGTTGAAGGTTTCTAATTCGTTTTGGATTAGATTCAAGGACAAAACTAAAATTAACCGTTTCGAGGATTCGGTAATTTCTATCATGGATTCGGTTAGGTACTGATTTGAGCGCACATTGATATCTTTGTGATGCAAGCACAGCTGAAATCCGAAGTTTTGCAGCTGCTTGTAGATGATTTCGTTGATAAACTCTTCATCTTTGATGCTATAAATTACGTAGCCATCGTAAAGCTTATCACTGGCGTCACAACTGGGGCTGAAGAGTCGCACGTTGTACTTGACATACAAAAACAACAACATCTCCTTCGAAAATATCACGATGATTATGCTGATAAGAATGATAATTATCAGAATAACTAAACTAGACGAGATGAAGGGTATGTAATCGACGTTGAGGATGGAGGTAGCAAAGAAGGCCGTGTTATTTACACCGGTCGTGTTGATGGGGTCACTGGCCGGGGCGGAGGCTTTCTGGAAGGCATCGTTGCAACTTTTGACGAAGTCGATAAGCAAGGAGCCATCATTGCAGAGCAACTTGTCGTAATTGGCCACATTGGAGATCTGATCCATGATGAGGGCCACGTTGGTGTTGCAAACACTGCAGTCAAATTGATTTTCGTCGAGTTTGAGCTGGAGGGATTCCGAAACAAAGTTCGTATCTTCTGAGTCGCGAGAGGCTCCTAAAAAAACGGGGCTCAGATTCGTGACGCGGTTGTGGTTCAGATCCAAGAGTTTGAGTTTCGTCAAGTTGGAAAAGCTCGTGTTGCTGATATCATCGAGGGAGTTGTTATTCAAGTGGAGCTCGTTAATATTGATAAGCTGATTGAATTCATAGCCGTTGAGCTTTTTAAGGTTGTTGTTCTCCAAGTGGAGGACTTTCAAGGACGGGACGCCGTTGAAGGTTTTGTTGTTGATATTGCTGATGTTGCTATTGTTCAAATACAATACCTCGAGCTTCTTTTTGCCGATGAAGACGTGGCTGTTGAGCTGGTTCAAGTTGTTGCCGTCGAGGTAGATCTCGGTGGCGTCCATCGGGATATTGGCGGGAACGTGGATGTAGCCAGAATTCGAGCAGTCAACGATGTTGGAGGACCAGAGATGGTCGTGGTAGCACGTACAGTTGGTCGGACAGGTCATTTCACAGTCGCAAGCATCAAAGTCGCAACAATGACAGAGCGCAAAGCAATGGGTCTCGTATTTGCAAAGAAAATCGCTCGATTTCATCTGCAACAAAGGCTTGGTCAGCTCACGCTTCTTGGGCGGCTCGGCGGGGTTTTTGTCTTCGTTGATGTGAGCCACCTCTTCCACGGCCGGAATCTTGTTACCTGAATGCTTGTTCACGAGCCGACAATTGATCGAGTCCAAATCCATTATTTGCGGGTACTGGCGCAGGTTGTTTATGAAATTAATCTGCTGGAGCCACTCCATGCTACAGTCGCATAAGATAGGATTATTACCCAGGTAGAACTGCGGCAACTCGTGATAGTTTATGTTGTTACCCAGCCGCAAAGAGGAGAGATCCAAACTTTCAATCTTGTTCTCGAACAAAATACATCGCTGCAAGTTCACCTTCTTCACAAAAGTATTTCTCTTGATGGATTTGATCAAGTTGTTATTCAAGTACAACACCTCGATCGAGTTCGGCATGATATTTTCGTCCAGCTCATGGAGTTTATTGTAACTTATGTCTAGCATTTTGATTTGCAGATTATTACTATTGTTGTTGTTGTACAAGTAGTTAATGTTGTTTTTATGCATGTCAAGCCATTCTAAGCTGTTCGGTATAAAAGAATAATCAAAGTAATCGATTTTATTGTCAGAAATGTTGAGCCACACTAGATTCACTAGGTTATTGAAAATGCCACTTATATCCTGGATTGCATTGCCATCTAAACGAACAGCATTCAACGTTTCGATTTGATTCAGAGCGCCCTTTTCGATGAAATCAATTCTGTTGTGAGCTAAGTTCAGAACTTGTAGGGAGGGCAGACAAGTGGAGTTCTTCGAGTCGGAGATTTTGTTATCCATAAGACGACGGCTTGATAAGTGGTCAACGCCGGTAAACGATTGATTGGAAACGTAAGAAATATTATTTTCACTGAGATCTAATATTTTCAAATACTTGAGAGAATTAATAGTTTTGGGGATGTCATTTAACTTGTTGGCGTTGAGAATTAAATCATTAAGATTTGTACAATTTTCGAAGGCTAAGTCGTTCATGAATTCGATCTGATTGTGATCCAGGAATAACCGATTCAAAACATACGTACCACTAAAGTAATGAAATTCCACCCGCACTAGGTTATTATGGGACAAAGTTAACTCATGCAAATTACTCAACTGATAAAACGCACTATCAGTGATACTTTCTATATTGTTGTGCTCTATATTGAGCATCTGTAAGCTATACAAATCGTGAAACATGTGAGAATCGATTTTGGTCAACTTGTTGTGGCCGAGGTTAAGCACAATCAAACGCACTAGCCCGGAAAACGTGTCGCGATTAATCCAATTGTTATCCAATTCGTTCTTCGAGAGATCCAACACTAACAACTGGTCCAATCCTTCGAAGAGACCCGGAGCGAGGATGTTGATGGAGTTGTTCTGGATGTAGATTTCCTTCAAGTCACGGGAACTTTGGAAGAGTTCGGGTGGCAGAGCAACAAGTTTGTTGGACGAGACGTTGAGAACTTGGAGCGAGGCGAGACCGACAAAGGCGCGGTCGGCCATCTGCGAGATGGCGTTGTTCTGCAAGTACATTTTTTGAAGCGAACGCAGACTTGTAAAACTGTTGTCGGTAATCTTAGACACTGCATTGTACGAGAGATCCAGCTCCTCCAAGCCCGTGTTGCACGTTTTACCGGGGGCCGAGGGCCCGTTGCCCCAGTCCGAAAACCCGAGATCGCACACGTTCTGAATGCCGTTCTTGGACAAATTCAGAAACATTAATTTATTCAACGGACAGAACAACTCCGGCGGTAGTTTCTCGATATTGTTATCCGCCAAATCTAAATGTTTTAATTTATGGAGCCCCGTAAAGCTGTCTTGAACGAATTCCATGTTCATAGTCGACCAGTCGGTGTTGTGCGACCGGATCACCAGTTGCCGCAATTCGTTCAGATTCCCGAAAACGTGAGATGGAATCTGACGGATTTTGCAGAACTCCAACTTTAGATCGTGCAAGTTTTTCAGCTGGTTGATCATCATGGTACTCGTGTCAAGAGAGCTTTCGTAGAACAACAGATCGTTGCACTCCAACTTGAGGGTGGTTATCATTTCGAGTTGGGAATTGGTTAAATTCGACAAGACACTATCCGCGTTGTTGATGGTCTTCAAGCGACACTGTAATAATACCGTCATATCCGGATCATCGCCGCCGTTAAGAATCCGTTGCCAGTCGCAGCCGGTATCACTCGCGGACACAAAATTCAGGAACAATTCCAGGAAACAAACACAAACAAAAAATAAAGCCATGGCCGGAGCGTTATAAAATTCACATTTCACCGTAATCCAAAAGGTTAAGTCACGACACCATGAAACATATTAGAGACCAGAGCGGGCGAGTGCTTCCGACCGGTCGCGCGGGAGTCGACTGAATTCCAAACTCCTCCGGCCGCCGAGGGACCACTGCTGAGCCTCCCCTCTCCGAGTGCTAGTTCCCTCGGCCGCCGCTAGAGCGCAGCACGAATCGCGAGAGCGCCGCCGTTGCGGGGGAGAGTTCATTCATACCGAACAGGCGGCGGTTTATGAATCGGGGCACTATCCTTCCTCCTCCTCCTCCTCCTCCTCCTCCTCCTCTTCCTCTTCCTCTTCCTCCCCCTCGAGTCATGGACCGGGACAAGTATCAGTAAGCGCAAAGCGCGTCTTATCATATCATCCCGGAACTTCGTTGCAACCTGCGCAAATTCTTACGAGAATCCATAAATATCTGTTGAGTAAGTTCTGCGTCTGACAGTGAGCTGAAGGATGAACGCTGCCGAAAAATCAGGGCCCTTGTTCATACTGGTGCATGCCGGAGACACATAATTTCATGAAGACTTATCAGAATAGAATAGAATAGAAAGTATTTTATTTAACCCATAAATACCGGGTTTATAAAAAATTCGGCGACATTTTAGGGTATAAAAAATATAAAATATTACAAATAAATTACGTATTAAAAAACTAAAGTAGGAGAGCGTTCATTTTACCTCTGCTTTATTATTGGATTAAATTTTGCAACGAGGAACCATCATCTCTGACTCTCCCATAAAATCACATATCTGCATAGGGAAGACATGGCATGTATGTTGTTTCTAAAATGGACCAGAAATAGTGGTTCCTCATTGCAAAATGTATCCAATTTTACTCGTTCAGAATTCATGATCTTATTTTTATTACAGATGACATAAATGTACATAGTGCTGATATCAGTTCTTGCCGTGTTTTTCAGGATTGTTGTTGACTTTGGTACATTCTTAAAATAAAAGTTCCTAACGCCACTGTACATTGAACATTCAAAAGGGATATGTTTTAAGTTTTCCAACCGGAGTAAATTTACAGATAGGACATTGTTCTTTAATGTTTACTTTATACCAATACTGATTAATTCCGATTTTGAGATAGTTTTCGTTGTGTGTTCTCAGTTGACTGAAAACTCTTTTCTTTTTGAAATTTATTCGATAGTCCAAGTGGTTAACTTGTTGTTCGCCATGACTATTTATTTTACTTATATTTGTTTGTAAAGTGGAGTAAAGGATGAATTTCCGATCTTGATGAAGATGAAGACTTATTCCTGCCAATATTTCATTTCTCGTGAGATATTTTTCTTTCAATCTGCGCGGGATATTTTGAATATTTGAAATATGATTAGCCAAAGAGCATGCTTCGTTGGTAGTGCCGCAACACTTGAAGATAGTTAGGTACGCCTTGTACTCCGCTGGGTCGCGTTGAGTAGAAAGAAACCAAGCCACAATAGCTACTCCCAAATTTAATTCGGCTGTTAAATTTTTAACATAAAACTGGTTATGCGGGTTTTTGTGCAAACTTCAGTGAATTTTCTGCATGAGGCGAAGCAAATTCTTTAAAATTTCCAAAAGAAATCCGCGCAAATATTCTCTTGTAACAAATTAAATTGCCCGATTAAATTTGGCAATAGATGGTTTGGCTTGGTTCCTTTCTACCAAACGCAGTCCAGTTTATAATAGGAAAAAAAATCACAAATAAGAAAAAAGTAAACAAGCAAAAATTAAAAGCTTAAAAAAGAGAGAAAAAAAAAACATCTGAGGGAACACCCTGCAGATAGCTGTAACAATTGTTCGGATGCATGCTTAATTTATTGATATCCAGTTTTGTGAAACGAGGTAATATGATGAAAACATTGTTGTAGATTTCATTAGTATTTTTTTCATGAATAGATAATGCTCACTTTTTAATTTCTGATAGTTGGCCTGTTACTGACTTCGAAAATGAGTATTTTTGTGAGTTCATTAAAGCTTTGATCGCAACAGTGTGGAAAATATGATATTAAAATTATCCGCGGGCGCAATCAAACAGTCTTAATTAGACGAAATCCCAATGTGTACCAATTTGGAACTATAAATTCTGGCTCTTCTGGAAAAACACTTATGTGCAGAGGGAGACTAATGACACGTACGTTGCTTTTAAACCGGGCTAGAATTTGTAGTTCCAAATTGCGAAATGTAGTCCAATTGCTCTTTGATACAAGATTCATTTCAGAGTGGAGGAATTCCTATTCCCTTGGAACTCTTGGATTTACATTGAATTGCCCACGAAATTCTCTGGACATTTTACATTTAATAAGGAGACATTTGACATCGTTCGAATATCCTCACGGCGTTTTTATTAGCAAGGCTGCGAGAACCACGATAGCTACTTTTTGGATTCGCAACGTTATGAAGGATAAAAATCCTTCTGTTTTGAGGGTATGCGATTGCTGTGCGGGTTGCGACGGTGATATTGCCTACTTTACGTTTTGAAGGCATTTTATACGACTGGAGTGCGCGTCAGCTGAGCGCATCACTACTGTGTGAAACCATGCGCCCAAAATGACAAACCCTCAAGTAGCAGTGATCGCGATAAATAGCGATTTTATCGGTCGATTATCGCAATTATATCGGTGGCAATCTATCGCAATATTATTGAATAAAAAATTGCGATCCATGGCGATTAAATCGCTATGCATCGCAATTTTTTGTTCAATAAAATCGCGATCAATTTTCGTCGATAAAATCGAGATTAAATCGCCATATATCGCGATTTTTTTAGATAATATCGCGAAAAATTGCCGGGCGACATAATCGCGATTTTATTGCAGCAAGATCGAGGATAATCGCTCAGATGTTGATGATAATAGCGATTTTATCGCCGACAAAATCGCAACATATCGCGATTTTTCCGTTGAAAAATGCTACTTGGACCATCGATAATTTCATCTCTTAGTTCATACCTACTGATATTCATCCCCCTTTCCACCTAACTTTCCTCTCCTTCTCTTCCCTTTCTCACCATCGTTTTTGCAAATTGTCCATGCGAAGCCGGAGATAATTGAAAAACCTGTGATTTCGTTTCAAATTAACCGGTGAATTTTCCTATATAAGGTGTCATGAAAGATTTTTTCTAAATATGTACCTCCTAATCTGTGCGTGGTTTTCGACCAGAACACAAAATTTGGAAAAAAATAACCAAATAATGAGATATTTTTTTTATCTTGAAGGGACCACCTTAGGAAAATATGTTAGCACCATTGCGGGCTCTTGGCGTTTCTTTCAAGATGCAAACTCTACTTTAAGACACGATACAGTGTTCGAGAGAACAAGAAGAAAAAAAATCTGAAAAATTGCAGAACTTCATTCATCGCCGTTTCCTTGACCCCTAGAGAGATAGTTCCTTGAAGATTGCAGCCTTGCGAAAGATGCAATGTCACCTAATGTCAACCTAATGTCAACCCAACTGCTCGAGAGTTGAAAGATTGGGAGGGATTTTTTGAGAGCCCTGTGAGCGCAAGTTGCGCTTTAGCCCTACATATCGACGGTGAAAGTCGGCAATCACATAACTCGGTTTGCGACGTCGCAGACTTCCTGTCATACTTTATTTTTTAAATGGAAAACTACTCAACGGCAATTCTTTAAAACTTGCAAAAACTTCAAGAAATAATATCAATTTGTTCTCCTTTAAAAAAATGACGTAGAGGCGGAGATTTTCAGACACCGCAAACGAGTTATGTGATTGTCGACTTTCACCGTCGATATATCTATACATCCTTCTATATTATATAACACTTTATTATGATGAAATTGCGGATGCATAAAAGACTTGTATTATTTAAATGCCCGTGAAAGTTGTAAATAATCAAATTGCGTGTACCTAAAGATCGTGTTTTGAAAGTAGAGCTTTTTCTTTCCAGTTGCTCGGATGTAAGCAGAAGCATCCTTCAACCACATTTTATGATGCCTGTCCTCCTCTCAGATTTTGATCGGACGAATTTATGCTAAAAGGAACCATATCCGTTAAAAAATGGACCCTGTCACGCACGTTTTTATAAGGATCTCAGGGCTCATGTCAGAAAGGATGAAGTTAATTTTGACTAAAATACATACATCCAATTAGACGTATTATGCTAAAAGAAACTATGTAAGGGTTGGATGCAATATGGTTTCTTTGACCATAAAACCGTGCAATTGTTTAACAGGAAAGTACACTTGAGACTTTCTAGTATAATGAAGAATATAATTACAAAATTTCGAATTTTAATGTTGCTTGATTCTCCGTTCAGAATTTACACCACGTATGAAAATCGCAATTCGACGCCATTTGATATATCTAGTCAGGCTGATTCTGATTAAATAAGTCGAATTTATAAAATCTCTCTTCTATGTTTGAGCATGCGTATATCTATATCTTAATGTATCACCCAAAAGTCACTACCGAAACTTTAAAACTTTTTAAGCTTTTAAATATCAAAATGTAATGTGTTCTTCTAATTCTGGCGTAAATTAGCATAGTTGCTGATCGTTGTATAAAACTAGCTATCGTGCAACTTGTGCGAATCTGGGAAAAATATTGTATTCTTACTACAGGTCACAGGGTTATTTAAAAATACGATTGAGAATTATAACCGAGGTTGACAATTTTACAATCTATACCGCATTTAAAACTGTCGAGGCAGCAAATAGGCTAGAACGACTTAAAAAAAAAAAAAAAAAATTACCGACGTCGCAAAGTTGGTAGCTCACTGTCACTGCTAGTGGTAGGCAAATCCTACCGATGGAGCCACCTCCTGGGTTAGGTAAGTTACAAGGTTTGAAAATCCTTCCATTTAGAGGGTAGTCAAATTCAACGCGGACCGAGTATACATTCCTGCCTATGCAACTTTTAGAAGGCGTTTTATTTGAGCGACACAATACGAAGCCTCCCTCTACTCAGGGATGTTGTAGCCTCCCAGGAATATGATACACACTAATGATGCCGTACCAGGTAAAAACGCCGTATGAGCTTCCAGATGTTGCCATATCTCCTTCAATGAAAAACAAATTTTCTGGGAAAATTGTGAATATTTTTCTTCAAATCTTA